ATAGTTTAATTATTAATGTTCATCTGTTTCATGAAGTAACATTATCTGGTTTACAGCAATACTTCAAACATATTTCATAACAAGGGAATCATTAGCTAATTTTGTTAGGTTTTATGCATCACTTACTGCTCCACTGTCAGTTTAAACTGCAGCCTGCGACCGCATGGCATGCATATATCTCATGTAGTTGGCTTTAAAATAAAGCATGAACCAAGTTGATTTCTTCTTGTGATTGGCTGAGACAAGGGGCATCTGGTTGGTGGCTAGATCTTAAAACAAACAAAACAAATGTGGAAGCAACTATAAAGATTATGAAGCACAAATTTGTTTTTTTCACCTTTGCGTTTCTCTTCACTCTAAAAACTTTAATCTAAATAAGTAATTTTTTCTTAAATCATCTTGAATTGAGGAGGAAAGTGAGACACTTTGCCAATGGAGCAAGATAAATTACATTTAAAATAAGAAAGAACAATTGCATTGTCTTATTTCAATTCATCATCTTATTATGTTATTCTAAGAGTAAAAAATCTTATTCCATTGGCAAATGATCTTATTTACATACTCAAAGTAAAGGTAAATACAATTAATTTAAGAAAGTTTTACTTATTTCTGGATGGATTTTGCAGTGTTGTGACTAACATTTACAGAGTTACTTTATATCTGGCTCCCCTCTTATCAAACAGAAAAATAACTTTTGCAGACTTCGCTAAAAGCTCTCTGAGAATCACCCAGTTACAAACTGATGTGGCTGCATTTTATTTGCTCTTACTGTAGCTTCCATCAGATTTTGCATTAAAATCCTCTACCTGTTCCATTCTAAGAACATTATTGTGTCATGAAATGGGGCAGTGGTGTAGCTCTGCAGAAAAAACAGCAAGTCTGCTTCCTTTGTGTTTACGAAAAGTCGATTGCGGGGACATTGCTTCAGTTTGTGGGACAGAAGTGAAAAATGTGGGCTTGTTCCACACAAAGCTGCAAATAACTCTTATTAAAAAAAAATTATGTTTGCGTATCGAGCCAATTCAGGAGTCTTAAAAAGTCCAAACACAAATTCAGAGAGAGTCACAAAACACAGGTTAAGATGCATGAATGCATCAGAAACCATCCTGCATCTTATACTGTGCATGTATGAGTCACATGCATATTTTTATTCAGTATAATTATGGGATTTAGAACTTGTGATCATTAGTCTGTAGGTCTGGCCGCTATCCGAACAACATGTCACACTTTTCAGGCTATATTTACAAAAGCTGTTAAAAACAATCATGTTCTTTCTCCTCAAATGCTGCACTTCACTGTGTTTGAGGTTAGAATAACGCTAAAGGTGGAAATGTTCAAAAGGTCTTAATACTGGTTCAATAATTAGTCTGATGATGCGGGGCGTCTGCAGGAATGTCCTCAGGATGCAAGCTTTATGCTTCCAAGAAAATACGATTAGTTCATGTCAATAAACAGAAGCTAAGGTAAACTTTCTGGTAGCTTTTTAGAACCTGAGATCCATCTTAAAAAGTCCCAAGGCCATTTAAAGAATTACTGAGCTCCTGAACACAAAAGTATTCCTGTCTGCTGCTGAATCTGTCTCCTCAGGGACACTTTAATTTAAGAAGTTACAAAAGACAAAATGTGGAATCCTGCAGACTCAAGCTGTCTGTTCATCTCCCGTTCATCCTGTTTGTCCTCAGAATAAAGATGGGGAGGCAGGAGGAGAAGCTGGGCCTCCACAGACGGGTTAATAACTGGCTTTGCTCTGGATGCCTTAAATTAGTTTCTATTGACACCTGCTATCGCGCAGCAGATTGCAGCGAGGACCTCATCAAGTGTAAAGACGCTGATGCTGTGGAGCCAAATCAGTGGGAGCAGACCAATAACTTCCAGCTTCCTTTGTCCAATCCCTGCGTTGTGCTCCAGCTCCGCTGATGATGCCGCCTTTCAGCTCTGAAGCCGCCTTCGATGGTGTCACGATAAACCCGTCTGGGTCCATTCTCCTCCTTTAATTGCCTCACCAGCAGGTCAAGCTTATCTCAAATGAAATGTTCAAACACTGAAATATTTGTCATCAGATTTTTCTGTTGGAATCGAAAGATAAGATGGTGAAGAGCAGGAAGCAAGGTGGAGAAAAAGTTTAAAACCAGATCAGCAATTTAAATGTCCAAAGCTCAGCACTAATTTAGACAACTGGAAGCTTTTTATTATTCAGCTTCTGAACTGTGCGTTGAAGCATCGGATTGCTTATCGACATTTGTGAATCAGATGCATTTGAAGCCCTTGCTGGAAACATTTCCCTCATTTCTTTAATTTAACAGGAATAGACCTGAGCAGCAGTCAGTCCTTTCATCTGTGAAGTCAGATATGTGTCATAGTTAAAAGTAAAGGCAACAAAGAGGCAGCTTTTCTCCTGCATATTTACAGCAGTTGTCGAAAAAACACAACTTATTCCAATTTCGAACAATGAGGTTAGTTTCTTAACAAAAATAACAGTTTGACAGAAAGAAAATAGCTTTTAGCTCTCACCAAAGAGGTCAGCACTGGTCGGCTGAAGCACTTTGAAAATCCAATTAATATGAAAATAGAAGACATTTTCCCCGGCAATTTTTCCTCCACTAAGCTTCGCTCCAAGCTGGTGTTGTGGTTTCCTCCCACCGTCCAAAAACATGACTGCTAGGTTAATTAGGTGTGTGTATGTGTGTGCATAGTTGTATGTCTCTGTCCTGCAAAAAACTAGTGACCCATCCATGGTGTACCTGCCTTTCCTACAGACGGATGGACAGATGGGTGTTTTTTTTTTCTAATATATTGGTCCATTTGGGATTGTTGTCTCAGGGAAGAGGTGCTTAAGGCATAGAGCTTGGAATCGTGAGATTGTGAGTTTGAAACCCACTCTGGGTCTCCGGTAAAGACACTTAACCTCCGATTGCTCTTCGGGCACCCCACGATGGCAGCCCCCTGCTCCCCAAGGGGATGGATTAAATGCAGAGGTGAATTTCTCCGATGTGAGATCAATAAAGTTCAATTATTATTTGTTTTCGGACCTCAGGTGTTGCAGCAAGGGTATTGCATAATACAGTGGAATCCGCTTATAGCTCACGTTGGTCCAGAGCCAATTTGAACACTATAAACAGTTGATTACTAAAATCAAATTTACCGTTATTTCACTTATTTTTTCTATGCAGAATATCATCTAAATGCCATTTGTATGGTTTTTCTTTTAGAGAAAAAGGAAATTCAATGGATAGCTTCTGCATTTACTGAATTTTATTACAGTACCATGCAAGTTTAATTACCGTGTACTGCGCTGTGCGCAGACATACCTCTATTAGCCAACCTAACTTATAATGTGCTGTGCATCGGCTCTGCTGTGCTGCTGGTGCATTTTTTTTAACAAGTCTGAAAATGAAGTTTGAAACAAATGCATAATCACAGCACAGTACTGTTACAGTACTGATAGCCTACAGTAGGCCTATGTAACTTATTCTGTAAGTCAGCTCTGCTGTGCCGCCAGTGCATTTTTTTAACATGTCCAAAAATAAAGTTTGAAACAAACAGTTTCATAGAACAACACAGAAGATAACTGCTTAGGCTACAGAAAATTAAAGCTAGCCTACCTCTGTGTTGTGTTGCTTTTCTGCTGCGCCGCAAATAAGAAATCACTTAACATATTGATCCATGGTTCCCTGGATCAGAGTGTTGTCCAACACCGAGTTCACTTCTTTTTCAAAATGATGTAAAAGGTCAAAGTTTTTGAAACCAACATGCAGGAGACTAGTCTTTAAAATGCAAACTGCATTCCTCATCTCAGCTCTGGAAGGGTCTCCTCTTCTTCATCCTCCTCCTCCCCCTCCTTGCTGCGCGCATCACTGATACCTGCACTAAAGCTCTCTTGTACGTCCTCCGAGATGTACACGTAGTTTTAAAAATTATTTTTACACATGTTGACATTCATAAAATGGCCAAAAATTAACATAAGCAGATTTCTTAATCACTATAAACAAATTATTTCAACAGCATTTGTATAGAAATGATTCTGTCCTAAGCCTTTTGATCTGTATAAGCGGTTGATTAATATATCTGTGAAAACTATAAGCGGATTCCACTGTATTAGGAAATGGTGTAATGATGACATTAGCAACTGTCTCCACCCTCTGGTCCAAAATTCTAGATAAGGGTGATAATTGAATAGTGTGATGATGCATTATGGTATTATGTTGCATTTTTGGGACTATATTCTGCAGGCCTGTGCTGCAGCACTGAATGAGGCTGAGAGCCAAATTTAAATGAAGGCAGAGATATTTCTATACTCAAACCAGAACGCTGCACTGAGCAGTCGATCCCGCCTTGGTTCTGGTTTCCCAGACAAACACTCATTAATGTGGTCTTTGAAAGTGGTCAGTAGTGGTCAGTGGAGGTCTTGGTCTCTCTGCCTACAGCCCTGCAGACCATTGCTTGTTTCCCCTCCAACAAACTGAGGTTTTGAAGCCACAGAGGAATTCTTATCCATAAATGCCTAATGATGCATTTTCTGCACACACCAGTGGAAGCACAGTGTTCTAGCAGACAGGTTTACATGCAATATTTACTCCCTTCCAGGATCAATTTTAATACTTTTACACCTTTTTTGGATTAATTTGCTGTGATTTTATTGTATTTGGGGATTATTAAAGTTGTTGGCCAAAGATGGCCCCTCTTAGCTTTCTTCTTCTTCTCCTGTTTTAACAACGTATCACAATGTGGGAAGTTTTGCAGCAGCTTCTGAGCCAGGTGAGTGTTTGTTCATCCGTGCTGTAGATTTTCCACTATTGATTGTGTCCAATGAAAAACGGGCCTCTCTGGGACCGGAATGGAGTCATTCTGAGTTTGATAGCAGCTCATAAATTCCATTTCTCTTTAGAAATCTCAGTTTGGGCCAAAGAAATTAGACTGAATGTTCATGTTCGGCTGAAAGAAGGCGAAGCTGCAGGGAGGAGGTTTTAAGATATGTACTGAAAGGCATTCTTGGAAACATGTAAAAAAAATAACAAATGTTTTTATTTCATGTTAATACATTCTTAGACAACACCACAGAATAGTTGCATGAGTGGCCAAATGTAAATCTCTCCCACAACATTGGCACAGAAGCAGCAAGGGCAACAGGAAAATACCAAGTACAAACAGTAGAAAACATACATGCTTCCTTTTTTAAATATATATACTCATCTTTTTCTGTGTCCCAGAACTTCTCCAGGAAAATAAGAAACCAATCAAAGCCGTATTCTGCAGAAACGATCAGAGGAACCAACAGTAAAAGAACATGAACCAAGGAAAAGAACATTACGTTTCAGAGCAGACGTGTGGAATCAGCTGTGCTGTGACAATTTCATTATTTTCATCTTTTTTTTCTGATTCAGTTTCAACATCGAACATATCAGGCATGCATTGACAATCTCCACATCAGCAGTCCATGATATCACCGGGTTATTCAGGGATGAGTGGACCAAAGGACGTCCTGTTTACAAAAGCTCTGTATCATCAGATACCCACAACTTACCAGGGAAGTCGATATGTTCAAATGGAACATCCTGTGACCATAAACCTTTCAATAAAAGCTTTAAAATAATTTATCTTTCCTTCTGGAAAGATAAATGGACCAGAAACCAGCTGATAGAGGTCTACCAATCAGGTGATTAGAGTCAATATTTTAGAATCAGAAAACAACAAAGGTACAAACAAAATGGAGACAGTCAGGGGTTTGTACCATGGAGCAGGATAAGCATGTCCACGTCGTCTTGGGTTTTTCTGGTTTAACTAACCTCAAAGATTCAGTCTATGTGAGCTTTGCACCAAATCATCCTGTTTTTTTTTTGTTTTTTTTATCGTCTGAAAGTGAGGGAGTTCATGTAAAAATGTACCAAGATGGTAAAAGAAGACCCAACAACAAACTGACCAGACCTGTAAGAAGTAAAACCATAATCATCTAAATATATTAAATTGTGCCTGGTAAGAGTCTATGATCAAATTACTGCACCTTATTAAGTGGAACGAGGAGGTTTTAAGATTTAAGAATCTGGTCATTGAGGAAGCAAACCGCTCCAATGATGGAGGAGCTCTATAGTGATAACCTATCTGGGTCTTCCTGCAGTGGTTGGTGATGGTCTTAAGGTGCATCTCTTTAGGACCACAGTGTCCTATACGTCTAACAGGATAATGCTCCCGGTCACAAAGCTCAGGTCTTTTCTGATACAACCCCCACCCGCCTTTCTCCAGGGTGGAATGGAAACACCAAGACAGTAAAGAAGGCAGAGCTTCAGTGGATCATGCAAACATTTGGTACCAACATCAACAAAAGAACAATAAACTTAACCCATTGAACTGGTCGGATCCATTGTGCTGGTCTTCAGACGAGGAGCATTTACGGCCCAATGACATAAAACCCAGAGACGAACCAGCGGTCATCGTAAAGAGATGCTGATCCTTCTGCGTAGTACAGACCTCGGCTCTCATATCCACACCGAGCCTCTCAGAGAGTTCAAACCACAGAGGTTTCACCTTAACCTCCATGTTTCTCTAAATTAAAAGCGGTTTCTGGTCTCCTGAGATCAGTTAGATCTGACTGAACATGCAGAACAGGCACATTGATAGCTTTCCACAGACATCGTCACCTCTGTGATCCGTCACAGATAAACACAAAAAGCCACAGACGGAGACAGGCATGGAGGAGGGAACATCATGGAACATCATGAAACATCATGAAACACTGCAGAACAGAAGCTGGAAAACCGGACGCACACATAAAGAACAGCACTGTTACGGCAGTGGATCCAAGGTCACATCACAGCTGCTACTTCCTCTCACATCTCGGATCTCGTCCTCCCAGAACCCTGCAAAGTTTTCTGGGATGTTTTGTTCCCAAAGTTAGAGCACGAGCACGACCCTGCGGACCAAATAAAACATGCACCATCAATAATTACATGAAGCTGTGAAGGCTGGAATATGCAAACGGAGGGAGGGCAGGTGGTGTGTTCATGGTGCCTCTCAGGTCATTCAGAACCCAACAGGCCGGCTCTGCCTTCAGAACTTTACACACGTTTTAGCCTCCAGGTGGCAGCATGAGCACAGCGCTCCAGGTGTGAATCACAGTATGGCTTCAATAATACACAAAGAAAGGAAAAAAAATGTGTGAAACCAGGAAGGAGGGTGGATCCATCAGTGACGTGAGAATTATCTCAGCACCAGAAAGAAAAGTACCATAGAATGGACCAAATGGAAGCCTTAAAGAACGGATGGATCAACAGGGAGGCTGAGGAACTTTCAGGTCCAGAGTTAAGAAACAGGAGCAGTTTGGATCTCCAGGGGTTCAGCTTCTATCCTCGGCTGATCCCATTAAAAAACCATCACATTTCATCTCCACTCCATGAGTTCACACTCAGAGGAAAAATCCCACCAGGCTGAAGATCCTCCACATCTCTGGTGGAACACATGAGAACAAAAAACGGTAACCCTCTCTCCCCTGGGCCAAAAAGGATCAGGCCAGGAGAGCTGACATCTCTGCAGCGCCCGTTCAGATGGAGGAATGGACTTAGATCACAACGTCGTTGTAGCTCACGTACTTGGTCTTTGCTGCTGGACCTGTGAGTGAAAGAGGAGAGAACCAATGAGAACCAACACTGCATGATGATACAGCTGGAGGTGGAAGGCTGAGGTGTCATTTATCCTGAACTCCTAGATGAAGGTCAGATCACTGTTTCCTCTACATCATCTCCAAATATGTTTCACCTTTACTTGTTACAAAGCAGCAATTCAGACAAAATACAAGTAGCTAAAATTATTAAAAATTAAATTTATATTTATTTAGAGACATTATGTCAGGTTGAACTTAAAAATATCTTTGAAAGAGCCTTTTTTGTTTGAGGAGCAGACTGGTACCTCAGTATTTCAGGACTGAAGCCTCTATACGCTCGTAGCCTATTTTCCCTGAAAGTACTTTGGTTTAGAAGTTGCTTTTACCACAGTAAAACTCCATAATGGCTCTTTAACAGATGACATTTTTATAAAAAAGAAAAACAGGTGGCCTAGTGGTTAGGGTCTAGAGCTTGGAATCCAGAGGTGCTGAGTTCAAGCCCCATTCCCACAGACACACACTCTAGGTCCCTGAGCAAAGACCCTTAACCCCACATTGCTCCCCAGGTATCATACAATGGCAGCCCAGTGTTCCACAAGGGGATGGGTTAAATGCAGAGGGTTGATTTCGTTGCTCTGTTCTTGTGACAGTGTAATGACAAAAAAAAAAAAAAGCAGTGAAAAAAAAGATGAGCTTTGTTGTCAAGGTTTTCTTGTTGGATGTATGGTCTGTTATTAAAACCAGATCTCGATTAGAAACACGTAAAATCCAATTTAGTCTCAAGCTTTTATTTGGCCTAATTACATTATATTTATATATATATATATATATATATATATATATATATATATATATATATATATATATATATATATATATATATATATATATATGTATAAGCCCATGAATATGGGCTGGAAGTCCCAAGGTCAAAATGGAAGACACCTCCTAAGGTAGTTGAGAATGACCGAGCTAAGATCCTATGGGACTTCAAGATTCAGACTGACAAACAGGTGATGGCTAACTAACCAGACATCGTGTTGATCGACAAACAGCAGAAGAAGGCAGTAGTGATAGATGTGGCAATCCCAAGCGACAGCAACATCAAGAAGAAAGAACACGAGAAGCTTGAGAAATACCAAGGACTGAAGGAGGAGCTAGAAAAGATGTGGAAAGTAAGAGCAGCAGTGGTGCCAGTGGTAATTGGAGCACTGGGGGCTGTGACCCCCAAACTGGGAGAGTGGCTACAGCAGATTCCAGGTAAAACATCAGAGGTCTCTGTCCAGAAGAGCGCAGTCCTAGGAACAGCTAAGATACTGCGCAGAACCCTCAAACTCTCAGGCCTCTGGTAGAGGACCCAAGCTTGAGGATGACACATACCACCCCACGAGGGGTGAGAAAACAGTTTTTATATTTATATATATATATATATATGTATACGAGGGGCGTTCAATAAGTAATGCCCCTGACACGCTTCCAGATGTCTGATCCAGCTGAATTTTTCCTTCCTTTCCTTCCTTCCTTTCCTTTTCTTCCATTCTTTCAAATGCAAAAACACAGACAAGACTCAGTTTGAAAACCTGAAAATCAAAAACCATAATTAGTTCAGAGCTGGGATTTGCTATTTAATCTATAGAAATTCAAATAATTTCACATGCAAAATTTCAGGTCGATCACATCTGGAAGTGGGTCAGGGGCATTACTTATTGAACGCCCCTTGTATATATATATATATATATATATATATATATATATATATATATATATATATATATATATATATATATATATATATATATATATATATATATATATATATATATATATATATATATATATATATTATGTGTGTATGTAGGATATCTATCTAAAGAAATACAGGATATCTATTTTTCTCTCACTGTTCTCATATTGGGTGTATCATATGTTATGTTTATATACATAAAATCATGTTATTTTCCAAACACAGAGCTAATTTTCACCAGTTGTTTTAATACCGCACTGTATGATTAGATTATCACCAGATACATAAAAGGGTTGACAATTTTTCTTACAGAGTCACAGCCTACTTTACAAGCTTTAACTTTAAGGACAGTTCATCAATATATACATTAAAACGAGCCGGAGAAAGAATTCCTCCTTGTCCTGCACCATTGCTGACATGAAAGGGCTCAGAAGTGCACTGTCCCACTTTATATGCATAACCTAATTTGCATAACAAAAATATGCACCAAATATTTGGAAAAATGTCTATTGATCATTTTTTAAATAACTTTGCATGATTTACTCTGTCAAATGCCTTTGTGGCATCAATAAAGCACAGAAAAACAGAATAATTAAAACTAAGATTTTTCAAACTCTTTCTTTTAATGAATACATGCATGTATCAGTCTCATTCCTCTCTATAAAGCCATACTGAGATTCACTTGTTAGAACATAGATTTTCAGTCTTATGTATGATATATTAGACTATTATATAAGACTTCAAAAGAGTAATAGCAAGTACTATGAGTCTGTAGATTACAAGCTGTTAAATTTACCTGCCTTATCCTTCCTGACAAAAAACCAGAACAACAGAAAATTAACAAAGAGCTCAGGGTTTAAAAACCTGTAAAGCATATGAACAGCAGTAGACATAATCCAAAGCATGCACATTTTAGATGGTCTGCTCTTTTTTTTTTTTTTTTTAGACATTAGACAGATTTTATTTGACATTTTGTTTACACCAGTGTAAAATAAAAAGAAATTTCGTTTGGAACAGCTCTCTGGACAGTTTCATCTTATTTAAAAGTGAAGCCTTGAAAAATAGTTAAAAAAGTAATATAAACATATGACTGTAAATTTACAGTTCTAAACAGTTTTTTTAATGCAGTTTAGCCCACAGGCTTTGTTATTTTCAAGCTTCAAGGTGGCTGCATTCACTTCAGTGAATAGACTAACACACTATAGGTCATATCAACATGTTTGATCACAATGCTCTCACTTTTCACTATCAAATAATTCACAGTAATGTCTGTGCCAAAAGTCTGCAATATTTTCTGGGAGTTGTACTCCTTTGTTGGATGGCAGTGATGTTTTAGCATCATTCATATCTTTGACAGATTCAAGATTTAAAACAGTCATTACCCTGAAGTTCTCTAGCAACAGAATCTGTCTTATGTTTCTAATAATTTAATGAAGGGCGTTACTAAAACCGGAATTAGTAGCTTTTTCAAGTTTAAACAATTATCCCTCTCTAGGTTACTCAGCTTCACACCACATTTTAGAAGCTTCACCAGCAGCAGAATGTTGCTAAACCACAAAATGTTTCAATGCAGGTTTAACAATAATCCTGTTTTGTTTAGAATAGTGATTAAAGACATATAGCGTATTTTCAAATAATAAAAATGATTCACTGAAATGTTGCACATTCGTACAGTTTGGTGTAAGACTTGTCGTTGGCTCTCTGGCTAATTTAATCCTTTAAACCTGGAAATCCATATCTCATGTACCAAATATGATACACCTGGCACTAAAGGGTTAAGTCTGCAGCAGCACATCTATCAAAGTCTTATATTTATTGTGATGTTTTTCTATCATATTAGAAAAGTCAAATAGTTGTCATTTGTTTTCTCAACTGCTGTGAAATTAGCCATATTTACAGAAACACTCAACGGTAGAAGATCAGATAAAGCATGCATATATAAAACGTCAGTGTGACCCATAGAAACACCTGCAGTACAGATAAAATGATTCAGCCAGCAGTTAGCATGCTAAGCCTCACTGGTAGAGTACAAGCTTGTTGTGAGGAATTGCTTTGGAGTCAATGAGTCGATGCAATCAGCTGGTTTTCCTTGGATAGAAACTTTGAACCAATCTGACTGGATGATCCGGTTGAATTGTCTCTGTAAAGTGCCTTGCATTGGTATAGCTGAAATATAATCTGGCAGGGGAATTTCACTCGATAGACAAAACTGTATGAAACAATGATGTGGTGCGGCCTAGTGGTTAGAATATTGTGCCTGGATCCCAGAGGATGGGAGTTCAAGTTCCACACACTCCCACAGACTGCTACTCTGGGTCCCTGAGCAAGACCCTTAGCCACAGACTGCTCGGCATACCCACTGTATCCCTTCAATAAATGAATTTATGTTGCTAGCTTGTTTAAAAAACAACAATATTTTCAATCTTTTTATTGCTATAAGTCATACGGCATGTAAACATTTCCTCTAAAAAAACATTAGATGTTGCACCACAAAAACTCCAGCACATTCAAAAGTAGATTTATAATCTTGAGAAAGTTACTGCACATATGACGTAGTCAGGTGTACATTCTCTCCTAAATATATCTTAAAATGATCGTTTTGCACTCCTGATGGATTCTTTTGACTAAAACCTCTGTAGGGTCCATAAGATCCTTTCTGCAAAAGCTTTAGCTTAAAAAGGAAAAGTAGTACATTTCTGGAAGAATACCAGCAAAGAAACAGATTTTTGTAAATCGAATTAATGCTAATTATTACCAATTGTGAAGCTAAATCCACATTAGGAAGCTAAATCCGGAAACTAAATCATGCATTGGTTTAATTGATTGATTTAGAATTTGTTTCAATGCATTATTTCAGCATTCTATTGTCACGGTCTTGGTTCTGTTATGTTTAACTTTGCTCCATGTTTTCTAGTTTTATTGGTTTAATTCCTATTTAGTTGTATTTCCTCTATATATATGAGTTCTTCGGTTTTTATTTGTTCCCCTTTGTTGGCCTCTTGTGTTGGTCTCCTATTCCCTAGCTCCTTCCTAGACTGCTCTCTTCACACCTGCTCCCAATCTGCTCGTTAGTCCTCTCTTTGTTCAGCCTACCATAAATACTCTCCTTGTGCAGTTCCTCAGTGCTGGTTCCTCATCTTACTTCGTCTCTCCTCGTTTTACATTTCATGTTGGACTTTTGGATTCCTGCCTCTGTTACCTGTGTTAATTCATTGAAAAAAAAACTGCAAGAACTCACCCCTGCTTCTCAGCCTCTGCATTTGG